TTAGTAAAATTTCAAGTTGGCATAGGTCAAACTGAAATATTTTACTTTAAAAACAAATTTGTACAGCAAAAATAATTTGCTATAAGTAATTTAGTAACTTAAGCCAGAGACTTTTATGATTAAGCAGACAAGTATCCATTTGGGCCACTTATATTCTACAGTTTTCTACAGCTAATCATTTATTTTTAACACTTTATAGCTCTATTTGGGCTGAATCAACGGTACAAATAAAGCACCTGGTTTTGTGGTTCTCATTACATTGAATCTGCCTCTTCTCCAATGAGGAGTTGGGGAGAGAGACGTCTGTTGTTTTCTCTGTCCATTTACTACCACTCCCTCTTGTGGTATTAAGGAGAAGAAACCATTCAATACAATCTAGCAAGCTAAATGCAAACCCTTTAAATTTGTTACCTGTAAAACAGGGTACAAAAGAAGCTGAATAATTGCTTTCTATTAATATAACTTGACTTTGCCTAGATCCTATTTATTTCCTAAAAAGACTTGAAAAATCCTGGAGAAAATGGGCACCTGGGAAACAAAGTCAGGACAAGACCTAATGCTGAAAATGTAATCCTGATTTCAGTTCACTTAACAATAACAATAATAATAATAAAGGTGTGGAGGAGTGTGAATTGAGGAGTAACTTAGCCCCTAGCTAAAGGACACCACCCACCCAGCAACTCCATATTAGTTCCTGGGGCTGTGTAAAAGATTATTGTGTGTGTGACCCACATGGATAAAAACATTTCTAGCAGCTCTTTCTATAGTGGCAAAGAATTGGAAATTGAAGGGATGCCTATCAATTGGGGAATGACTGAACAAGTTGCAGTATATGAATGTAATGGAATACTATTGTCCTATAAGAAATTACAAACAAGTGGACTTCAGAAAAACCTGGAAAGACTTGTATGGACTGATGCTGAGTGAAATGAGCAGAACCAGGAGAACATTGTACACAGTAACAGCCACATTGTTTGATGACTAACTTTGATAGCCTTAGCTCTTGTCAGCAATGCAAGGATCTAAGACATCTCCAAAAGTCTCATGATGGATAATGTTATCCACATCCAGAGAAATAACTGTGGAGTTTGAATGTAGATCGAAACACACAATTTGCTCTTTTTTTTCTGTTTTGTTTCTTCTTTCTTGTGATTCCTCCTATTGATTCTAATTCTTCTTTACAACATGACTAATGTGAAAATATGTTTAATAGGAATGTATATGTAGAGCCTATATCAGATTGCATGCCATCTTGGGGAGGGAAGTGGGGAGGGAGGGGGAGAAAATTTAAAACTCAAAAGCTTATAGAAGTTAATTTTGAAAACTAAAAATTAATTAAAGATTATTGTGTGTGTAGCAAAGAAGATCTAGGTTATATATAAAGAGCAAATGGAAAATAATACAATATAAAATATTTGTTGACCTCTTCACTTTAGGACATTACTCCATCTTGGGTTTCTAGTCATGATGGTTTAAGAGTTGCTGGTTTAGCAAGGGACCAAAGTACATTTCTAACTCCATGGGATATGTTCCAGTCTATTCTAGGAAGTGGAGAGTACAACAAAACAGCTATTAGAAATTTTTTCAAATTATATCAATAATTGTTTCTTTAAAAATTAATTTGAATTATCAAAGACTGAATATAGAACAATTTCAGTGCAGTCTTGGGTAAGGAAACATTAGCTTACAATCATATTTAAGGAAAAAATTGCCATTTCATAAATTTAGTTGAAAAAGTAGAAAGAACGTAAAGAGACAAAGATTGGAGGAAAGATAACAATATTTGCAGTCAGGCCAGACCCGTGTTTGAATACTGTTTCTGACACTTGTTGTGTGACTAAATGCAAATCCCTTGATTTAAGCAATATTCAAACAATCAACATTTATTAAGCCCTACTATATATATGCCTGGCACTAAGGATACAAAACAAGGCAAAAGAAAGTGCTTGCTCTCAAGGAGCTTACAGTCTCCCTATTAGGGGGAGACAACATGCAAACAAATATATACAAAGGAAGCTATATACAAGATAAATAGGAAATAATTAACAGAGGGAAGGCACTGGACTTAAGAGGAATTGGGGAATGCTTCCTGTAGAAGGTGGAATTTTAGCAGGGACTCACAGGAAGCCAGAGAGATCTGTAGTCAGAAAGAGCTCTCCAGGCTTGAGGGATAACCAGAGAAAATGCCCAGAGCTGAGGGATAGAATGTCTTGTTTGTGGAAGAGCCAGGAGGTCAGTGTCATTGGATTGAAGAGTGTGTGAGGAGTTCAGTATATAAAGACTGGAAAGGTAGGCAGGCTCTAGGTTATGAAGGGCTTTGAATGCCAAACAGCATTTTTGTATTTGCTCCTGGAGGCAATAAGAAACCACCGGAGTTTATTGAGTAGGGCATGATATGACCAGACTTGTGCTTTAGGAAAATCACTTTAGTGACTGAATCAAGAATGGATTGAAGAGTGGAGAGAAATAAGGCAGGCTGATCCACCAGCAGGGTATTACAACAATACAGGAGTAAGGTGATGAGGGCCTGTATTAGAGTGGAGGGCAATGTCAGAGGAGAGAAGGGGGAGTATATGAGATAAATTGTTGCAAAGGTGAAATCAACAGGTCTTAACAATAGCTTGGATATGGGAGTGATAGTTAGGAATCCAGGATGAATCTAGGTTGTAAGTTTGAGGGACAGGAGGATGTTGTTGCCTTCTACAGAATTAGGGAAGCTAGGAGTAGGGGAGAAGCTTAGGGGAAAAAAGATAGTAAGTTTTGTTTTGGACATATTGAGTTTAAGCTATCTACTAGACATTCATTTTGAGATATCTGAAAGGCAGTTGGAAATGTGAGATTGGAGGTCAACAGGGAGATTGGGGCAGAATAGGTAGAGATAAGAATCTTAAGCATAGAGATGGTGATTAAATCCATGGGACCTGATGAAATTGCCATGTGAAGTTGTATAGAGGGAGAAAAGAAGGAGGCCTAGTACAGAACCCTGAGGGACACTTATAGTCAAAGGCCTTTCTAGAAGAAGATCTAGCAAAGGAGACAGTGAAGGAGTAGTCACATGGGTAGGAGGAAAACCAGGAGAGAATGGTGTCCTGAAAACCTAGAGAGAAGAGAATATCAAGGAAAAGAGTGATCAACAGTGTCAAGGGCTGCAGCAGGTCAAGGAGAATTAGAATTGAGAAAAGCATTGACCTTGGCAACTAAGAGATCATTGATAACTTTGGTGGAATGATTTCAGAAGCCAGATTACAAGGAGTTAAGAAGAGAGTAAGAGAGGGGCAGCTAGGTGGCACAGTGGATAGCACACTGGCCCTGAAGTCAGGAGGACCTGAGTTCAAATCCGGCCTCAGACCAAACACTTGACACTTACTAGCTGTGTGACCCTGAGCAGGTCACTTAACCCCAATTGCCTAAAAAAAAAATTTTAAAAATTTAAAGAAGAGAGTAAGAGGAAAGTGGAAGGCACCTATTGCAGACATGAGGAGTTTAACTACAAAGGGCAGAAGAGATGTAAGGCAATAGTTACTAGGGCTGTTAGGATCAAATGAAGGTTTTTTGAAGATGAGGGAGACATTGACATGTTTGTAGGCAGAATAGACAGAGAGAGATTAAAACTATGTGACAGAGGGGGGAAATCTATTGGAGGAGATGGGGTGGAATGGGATTGCTTGACAAGATAGAGGACTTAGCCTTGGTAAGACCACCTCATCATGTGAGACAGGAATGAAGGAGGCAATAGTGGCAGAAGGTATTAGACAGAAGATGAGGAGGAGGGGAGAAAAGGGAACTGCATGGCTTCATTTTTTCTGTAAAATAGGAGGCAAGGTTCTCAACTGAGAAGAAATGGAGGGGGAGGGAGGAGGAGTCATGGGTGGTTTGAGGAGGTCTGAAAAGATTTGGAAGTGCATCTGTGCAGTGAGATAGTGAGTTGATGAAGAAGGTATTAGGATTGCCTAGCAATAGCGAGGGCCCAGTTGAAATTATGTAACATAAATCTGTAGTGGACCCAGTCAAAATGGTTGGGTGATTTTCTCCACCTTCATTCAGCAGTTTAGCAGCACATTTGTAGGAAAGAAGGTGGCAGTTGGTGGGAGTTATCCAAGGCTGAGGCTTGGTCTTGTGTAGTTTGAGATATGATGAGGGGGATAGTGATCCAAAATAGGAGAGAAGTGTAAAGTTGAATTGATGCTAAGCCTCAGGCTCTTCATTTATAAAATGGAGAGAAGATATAGAAAGCATTTCACAACTTTCAAGTGTTACATACATCGAATATTTCCATAGATGAAACAGACTATAAACAATCCATTTTATACTAAGTATTCGGAATAAATAGGAAAGTTTTGCATAGAGGAATTGTTGAGAAAATTCCATTGTTCAAAATTTGATTCTTGATAAGAAAAGGATAGAAAAAAAATCTGAGAGAAATACTCTTTAAAGGGAGTTGTACTCATGCTTGAGTTAGCTAAGGACGCCTAATAGAGGAAGGTGTAGATCTGGGTAGCACTCGTAATAGTTTCTTTGGAAAAAAACAAACCCCCAAACCAAAAACAAACAAAAGCCGCTTTTTGATGAACATTAAGATACTTAGGTTCTTGGAAGTATTGTCATGTTTGTTCTAATAAAGTTATCAAAGGCTGAACCAACTGCTTCCTGGGAAATATAGTTTTCCGCCCAGCGGCTTCAATTGGGAGCACTACAAATGAGAGGCTTTCAAGTCACACTGAATTCTGGGAATTGTAGTTCCAAAGCTGAAATCAGCGCTTTTTTTCTAAGACTCAAATCCACGAGATTTCTCCTTTAGGCAGAGCCCAGGCGGACGGTGAAGCGCGAGGTCCATTCCAGCGTTTCTGGTTTCCCATTGGCTCTGTCTCTATAAGGCCACAACTCTTTTTTCGCCGCAGCCAACGACCATCGCAGCCTAAGAAGAACTGCGGGAATTGGCGGAAATTGATCTCGAGCTTAGGGCCAATGAGCTCGCAGAGACGGCAGAAGTGATAGGGTCACTGGGCTAGAGCCCGCTGTCCGCTCCTATTCCCTGGCCCCTAGCTCTCTAAAGCCTCTTCGTTCTCCGAGGGGTCGAGGGTGGGTGGGTTTCTCCCGGCAGCCGCGGCTGGGGCAACGAACGGAGCCGCCTCCGCAGCCTTGGAAGGCTCCCGACCGTGCGGCTTCACGATGCGGCGGGGCCTGGATGCGTGAAGCTGCCCTCGGAGCGTCGGTACGTTGGGACGTCGCAGCCCGCCGGGCAGTGAGGCGAGCTGGTGGGCAGGAGGACAAAACGCCGGCCAAAGCCAGGCGGAGCCAAACGACCGCTAGGGCTTGGGGGGTGGGTCGGCACTCACCCCAGCTAGGACGGCCAGCTCTGCGAGGCCTTGGATATTGGTCGGCCCGAGGTCCGTGGCTTCTTTCTCGGCCCCAGGTTGGGTCTTGTTGGAGCCTGTGTGTCCTGGTCTTCTCCAATACTGTCCATCCGCCCCCATCCTTTCACTGGTCATGTCAATCAGCACTTATAACTTCAACCCCTGATTGGAACTAGGGGCTGTGATTGGGCTATAGGGGTGCAAAGACAAAAAGCCAAACAAACACGAAACATTCCCCGCCTTCAGGGAGCTTATATTCTATAAGGGAAATTGGAGGCACGTATGAGTAAGCAAAATACATATACACTAAGTATAAGTTAATTTCTGGGTGGGGGCTGGAGACAAAGGCACTAGTAGCTGGGCTGTCGGGGAGGGGGAGGGTAAGCAAGGTTGTGCTTGAACTGAGCTATGAAGTAAACTAGGAATGCAAAGGTAGAAACGTGAGGATAGTGCATTTCTTTGTACACAACCCTCCATCTCCCGGTTCTGCCTTTTCACTGGCCTTCCCTCCACGTCTGGAATGATTTCCCTCTTCTTTGTCTTCTGGCTTTCCTTAAGCCTGATCAAATCCAGCCTCCTGCAAGAGGCCTTTGAGAGTCTCTGTCCCCCTTCCCAGTCGCCTCCTAGCCTTCCACTGTTAGTGCTTTTGCCTGAGATTACCTCCAATTTACTCTGTATGTGTGTATATATATATAGTGTATATATGTATATATGCATAAACATAAACAGACAGTGAATATGTATTTGTATGTATATGTGTGTTCACATACATATACACATGTAGCTTACACATAGTTGTTGACACTTTTTATTTCTCCCACTGGATTATGAATTCCTTGAGGGCAGCGACTGTTTCAGTCTTTCTTTGTAATCCTAGCCCTTAGTATAATGACTAGCACAAAAAGCTCTTAATGATTTAATTAAAGCACTTAATGAAAAGTGCGGTGAAGTGTGTTTCTGGAATGTCATGTATGAAGAATATCAAATAATGAAGCTTCTCTGGACTGTTAATGTAGGCAAAAGGAACGAGCACTTTCCGGGTAGCCTGGAAAGATAGGTGGAAGCCAGGTTGTAGAAGGCATTAAATGCCAAACATAGGAGTTTGTATTTGAGTTTATAGTTAATAGGGAGAGGCACTGATGCTTTTTGAGTAGGTGATTATGGATTGGAATGGAAAGAAATTGGGAGGCCACTTAGGAAGTTGGTGCAATGATCCAGGTGAGGAATGAAAAAGGTTGTAAACATGGTAGCCCTGTGAGTGGAGAGAAGGGACCTGATGAAAGAGATGTTATGGACATGAACAAGACTTGGCAACTTGATTAGATATGAAAGGTGAGAGAAGAGTTGAGGATAACTGAGAATGTGAACTTGGATGACTAGAAATATGGGGGTACCCTCAAAAGGAAGAAGAAAGAGTTTGGGGGAAAAATGGACTCAGTTTTGGAATTGCTATAGGAACTTTACTCTTTTCTTGCTTTTCAGCACCTCATTTTATCTGCATATTACATTTCACTTCATAATATTTTGGCTGCTTTTTACCAAGTGTGTGAGGGTAGCAGTGATAGCCACAGAAGGTTTTGGTATAATTGGCTCTTTTCAAACTGTGCGTATGCCATTGCTTTCTGAGTAATGTACGGTGGTTTGTTTAAACTAACAAGATCTGTGTAATTCCTGATTCTGTTGTACACATTCTGTCTGACTCTTTGTGACCCCATTTTTGGGGTTTTCTTGCTAGATGAATGTGTAGTCTTCTGAAGGTCTTATCCTTAAAATTCAGCTAAACAAATATTTATTAAGCATTTATTTATGTAGAAGCAGCATGACCTAGTGGTTAAACATCAAGCCTTGGAGCCAGGAAGATCCAGGTTCAAGTCTTGTTCCTGACATGTAATGTTCATGTGACCCTGTGCAGGTTACTTAACTTCTCAGTGCTTTAAGAGACTCTAAAATTAGAAAAAGTGCCAGACTGCATTGGTAAAGGGAGTTTCCTCACTAGAGAATTCTGTATGCCAGTGAAATCACAGGTACGTGTCCTATCCCAGTCCCTGCCTCTACTTGTGGGCAGTGCAGTATGAGAGACTCTGGGTATGCAAAAGTAAAGATGAAATGGCCCCTACCCTCAAGGACCTTGCTTGTTTTTTCAGAGATACAAGATATGTACATATAAATTAAAATACAAGATTGTTTGAGGAAGGAGAGAAAAGTAACAACTGGGCAGACCAGAGAAGACTTACTGTGGAAGGTGGTACTTGATCTGATCCTTGAAGAAAACTAGGGATTCTGAGACCATCTTTCTCCATTCTCCTTCTTTGCTTCATTCTCTTAATAATAGTTATGTCTTCTTTTTTGCCAGTGCCAACCTTTGTACTTGTATCTTTGATCCCATCTCCAGGAGCATGCTTCTTTATTCATCCCTCTTTTTAATTTCCTTAGCCATTAGGTACAAATGTGTCCACATCCTTCTGATCCATAAAAACCTTTCCTTGAACCCATGGTCCCTTGCAACTATCAAACTGTATTTCTTCTCTTTTCATTGACATTTAGAAAAAATTCATTTTCTTACCTCCCATTCCTCAACCCAGCTTTTTTTCCCTTCCCCATCCTCCTAAGATGAGCTCCAAGGTCACCAGGCATTCTCTTCTTTGCTAAGTCCAGTGGGCTTTTCTCAGTCCTCATTTTTCTTAATCTTACACGGTTGACTAGGTGTCCTCTCTTTCTGGATACTGTGTCTCCTAGGTTTTCCTGAAGCTGCTGTTTTCAGAATCCATTGCAAGATCATCATCCTGGTCCTGTCCCCTCCTGCTTTTGTATAGTCCAGGATTCTGGCCCCCATTTCCTTTTGTCTGGATCTTATCAGCTACCACTGGTTCTGCTCTCTGTATGCAGATGACTCTCAAAGGTATATATACATATCCAGCTCTTTTCTGTCTTCTGAGCTTCAGTTTATCTTCTGAACCCTTCTACTTGGGTGTCCTATAGGTATTTAAAACTCAACAAGTCCAAAACAAAACTCATTATTTTCCCCTTAAACTCCTTTCCTATTTCTTTTTAGGGTATCACTATTCTTCCAGTCCCCTGGGTTTACAGCCTCAGAATGATCTTTAGTTCTTTACACTGCCCCTCACCCCTGTATCCAATAAATTGTCAAGGCTTGTCATTTCCACCTTTCATTCCATCATCTCTCGTTTCTCCCCTTCTTTCCATTTATGTTACATCCACCCTAGTTCCTTCTGCTCCAGAAGCTTCAGTGGTTCCCTGTTGCCTCTTTGATAAAACGTGTCTATTTGGCACGTAAGACTCTTTATAGTCTTGTAGTCTTGTTGCTGCTTATTTTTCTGGGATGATTATACATTACTCCCTTTTGTGTAATAAGTTCCAGCCAAACTTGCCTGCTTGCCATTCTCCAAAGGTGACTTTAGTTTCTGGCCTCCATGCCCTTGCAGAGGTTTTCTCCTATGCCTGGAGTGTTCTCTACTCATCCCCATTTGTTGTAACCCTCAGCTCCCTTCAAAGCTCAACTGAAGTTCTACCTCTGACAGTAATGTTACCTAGTTATTAGTGTGACCCCTTCTCCCCTATAATGTGTGTATGTTTGTATCTTGCATTTACCTCTCAGTATTCATGGTGTATTTCTCTCCCTAACCCCAGGAGAATGTAAACTTCTTGAAGACAGTGACTATTTTGTCTTTGTTTTTCTAGTATAGTGCCTGGTGTGTATTAAGCAGTTTAGGAAATAATTATTGCATTGAATTGACTCATGGGGGACAATCTGTACAAGGACTCAGGCAGGAAATGAAATGTCCTTTTTGACAAAAAAGGTAGTGGGCCAATTTGACTGGAACATGGTGTATGTAAAGGGAAATGATATGATTACTTCTAGACAAATATGTGGAACCTGTACTTCGCAGTGCTTTAAATGCCAGGCATAGAGGTTTGTGTTTTATCCTAAAAAGTGTAGGAAGTGTCATGATCAGGTCCATGTTGTAGGAGTAGTTATTTTATAGTTGTGTAAAAAGATTGAATTAAGGAGGAGAGAGATAGGAAGCAGGCAGACCAATTAGGTTGCTTTTACAGTAGCCCAAATAGGAGGCAATGAAATGTCATAGAATCATACTTTGAGAGATAAGAGAACCTAGAAGTCATCTTTCCCCAACCTCTCATCTTATATATGAGGCTCAAGAGATATGAAGTGACATTACCAAGGTAACACAGATAATAAGTTGCATTTAGGGTTTGAACCTATATCCCTTGCCTTTAAATACAACATTGTTTCCATGGTATCATACTGCCTTTGTATGAGTGGAGTGAAAGTGGGGGATGTATGTGAGAAATGATGTGGAGGTAGAATTGCTAGAACTTAGCAACTGATTGAATAGGGGAGGGAAGGGAAAGATGTTCTCTCAGCCAAAATAAGGATATTTAGAGGAGGTGTTCATTTAGGAAGAAATATAATGAATTCTGTTTTGTATGTGTTAAGTTTGAGCCACATGGGGGTTTCCAGTAAATAATTGGTTATTCAGAACTGGAATTCAGGTGAAAGATTAGCCTAGAACAAAAAGACTTGGGAATCATCTGCCTAGAGATGATAACTGGGTCTGTGGGGCTTAATGAAATTACTGAATATGTCACAGGTGTCTATTCCATTTGATATTGAGTTATCTTAAGAGAAAGGACTGAAGAAAAAGAAGAAAGGTCATAGAGATGATAACACACACACTCTTATCCTTTTAAAACTTATTGTGAAGGGTGCAGCATGAGGATTTCAAAGTGGGAAGGATACGAAAATATTAGGGTTTTTTTTTTTTTTTAAAAGCTTCTTAAACTAACAAATTAACCTTTGGGAATTAATGTAGGATTG